ATGAGGTCTTCTGTGGCTTCCCACAGGGTACGGCAAGGCCCTTTTGCCTTTGTTTCTCCGTCTTAAGAGGCGGCCTAACTGGACCCTTGCATCCACAGACACTGCACAGGGGCTCATGGCCAAAGCAGACTGATGGCCCACTGGTCCAGTAACAGTGGCCTGTTTCTGGTTCCTTTTTCCATCTGGATTAGGTGGCTGCTAATGTCCTTTTAGGACAAAGATCTTCTCTGCTCCTTCCTCCTCACAGGCTGTTTTCTAGGAATGAATCTGCCCAGTGTAATCTGTTTCAGGCTGTAGATTTCTGAATAGACTGGTCTGCATCAGTGTACTTTGTTAAATGCCATATACCGGAGAGCAGCCCATAAATGTTCCTGAAGAGAGGGTGCCGTGCTACCTTGTGAGCCAGCCTGGGTGTGCAGTCAGCCTCAGGAACCAGCAAGGAGGGGGAAAGATGCAGCCACACGTGCTGTCCATCTGGAGGTGCGACCAGGACACCAAAACAGCCGCGCTCTGCGGTGACTGTTACAGCCTCCCCTCCCAAAGGCACAGTGCCACAGATACACTGCCACTGGACCACAGGGATGACACAAGTTTCAGGATGACCGAGACAAAAGTGCAGGAAGAAGGAGGGGTAAGGGAAGCCATGCATGACAGTGCATGCCTGCGACCCCAGCACTAAGAAGGCAGACATAGGACAATCGTGACTTAGAGGCTATCTTGGGCTACACAGCAAGACCTGTGTCTATCCTTAAAAAAAAAACAAAGAGGTGGCGCAGGTAAGAGGCAGTGTGTATGTGTATAAACATGGTTCCAAGGGTGTCCCACTGGACGATGGCTCCATGTCTTTCCTTGCAAACAACTTCTGAGTTGTGTCAACTGCTAAGAGTCACAGTGACACAGAACTCTAGGAACTGCCTCAATCCCTGTGGTCTCATGCTTGGGTGAGCCAAGGCAGAGCTGAAAGGAGTCAGCAACATGCAAAGGTCTTTAATGAGTGGTCTCTTCCCTTCATACTTCAGGACAGCATGCTTCCCCTCAGGACATGCTCTGTCCTGCATGCTGACCAGATGTGAAGGCAGTAGCTGGCTGGCTTCCACTGAGAAGCCAGTTACAGGAGTCACGTGTGTGTGTGTGTGTGTGTGTGTGTGTGTGTGTGTGTGTTTCCATGCATGCACATGTGGAGGCCAGAATACTGGGTGTATTCCCAAGCAGGGTTTCTCACTGAACCTGGAGCTAAGGCTGGTGGCCAGTAAGCTCGACAACCCTGTCTCTGCCCCTCCACCAGTTCTAGGGTTATGGCATGTGTGTGGTCCCACCTTGCTTTTTATGTGGGTGCTGGGAATCTAACTTGGTTCCTCACACTGGCATGGCAAGTCTGGCCAGTGTTCTTACCCACCAGGCCTTCTCTCTGGGCCCCAAACCTACCTTTTACACTTGCAACTTCCTGAGGTGAAGTGCAAAGGGGGCTGATGGGCTTCACTCTTAGGCCAGGCTCTGCATCACACCAGCAGGTGGCAGTTTGTTAAGAGGGAACTCTGTGGAAAGCTGAGAGCCTTGGTTCACATCAGGGGCACAAGTGAATGTTGACTGGAGATGTCTAGAGTAGGGGAGCCCAGACATTGTCACCCAGAGCTTCCTAATGCTGACTAGCATTGATATATACATGTGTAAACAGTGTGTTTTAACATCAACCTGTGGGATTACCTCAGTCTACCTGAGGGACCCTTTCAAGCCATGGAAGAGTTCTGTTTAAAATCAACCCAGCAGGAAAACTAGAAGCATGGGAGAGCTCTAGGGTTTTTGGCATCACTCTTGTCTGTCCCAGTCTGGCTGGAGGGCAGGTCTTTGGTACTGGATACATGACGTGTGATTCTTTTAAGTGGTATCTTCAGGCCAGGGGCAATGCTGAAGGCCTGGGCTGGGCTGGGCTTAGCTATAGCAGGCACAGGACTGTGTGCCATTCCATCGCTCAGTGGTGGCCATTACTGGGAAGGCACTTCTGGGAAAAGGTGGCTTTGAGACATCCGCCTCATCCTCGAGTCAGTATCAGCTCACCTATGGGTGCAAGAAGACTCATACCGGGTGATCGGAGCTGTGAGGCCCTGACCAGGCTGTCTCCAGGATCTGCAGCCTTCAAGACCATCTGGAAGGGAGAGATCATTCGTCCATTTGCTCATCTGTTCCCTCCACAGATGAAAAAACTGACCCGAGGAGGAAGTGGCCTTCCAAGGCTACACTGCTAGGTTGCGCCTGCATGTTAGATCCAAAGCAGCCCTGTTCATCAGTTTCTATGGGTTCCCAGCATTCTAAGAAGCACCCCACCCCCGAGCTCAAGCCCTCACCGGTGAAACATGGCAGCCAGGCTGAGGCTAGTCTAAATCACCCAGGGCACCTGGCTTCTTCAGCCTGTGTGCCAGTCAGTGACAGGTACCATGAGAGCTACAGAGTCCAGTGATCATTCAGGTGGACAGCAGAGCATGGCTGGGGCGTCGAAGGCAGAGCATGGCTGGGGCGGCGAAGGCAGGGCATGGCTGGGGCGGCGAAGGCAGGGAACACAACTGGCATCTTGCTCCTATCAGCACTCATCTTCCCAAAGCAGAAGCTTCATTGTGAATGTGGTTTCCATTTGGAAGCAGCAGCTACAGGCTCATGCCATGAAGAGAAGCCCTGTCAGCTGTGTGCAAGTCTGTGTTTCCACACCACATCTGAGCGCCTCCTGGAACCTCAGAATCTATGAGGCGCTGGGGCAGAGGAGGAAACACAAGCCCAGAGCAGCTGAGTGGAAGATTAAGCCCGACGACTCTTCTTCACGAGGCAATGAATCTCTTCTGAGAGACAACAGAGGACAGGAGGAGGGTGCAGGTGAGGGCCGGGAGGAAGGTCAGGATGGGGGTGTGCTCTAGCTAGTTCTGGGCCCTGAAGACCACTACCTCCAATTTATTTTCTTTCCAGAGCCCCGGCTCCACTCACACTATTTCTTGGCCTGGTCTCAGGAGACTGTTCAGTGAAGTTATAACTGTAATGAACGGGCAAATGGCTGTTTCCTAAATCCTGCAAAGTGAGGAAAGACAGACTGCTTCCACTCAGTGGATGGTTACTGAGGCTTCGGAATTCCGAACTGACTTTGGCGATGCTCGGTCTGAGTGGCTGTGGTAGACCAGAGGCCCACGCTCTGTACAGCAGGAGTGAGTGAGCTCAGCTGCCTCCTGCAGCTGTGGAGATGGCCCTCACCACGTGAGTTAGGGACGCTGGCAGGAGCAAACCTGACAGGCACCTTCATTTCTTCATGCAGAGGAAGAAATGATACTTGCAAACTGCCGAGCCCCAACTAATTTCAAAACATGAAGAAACTTTTTTTAAAAAAATTTTAATTTTTTTTTTTTTTTTTGGTTTTTTGAGACAGGGTTTGTGTGTGTAGTTTTGGTGCCTGTCCTGAATCTTGCTCTGTAGACCAGACTGGCCTCGAACTCACAGAGATCCGCCTGGCTCTGCCTCCCGAGTGCTGGGATTAAAGGCGCGTGCCACTGCCGCCCGGCTTTACTTCATTTTTCAAACTTGTATTTTATAAGCATTGATGTTTTGCCTGCCCGTGTGTCCTTGTGAATATGTCAGGTCCCCCGACACTGAGGTTACAGACAGTTGTGAGCTGCTATGTGGGTTCTAGGAACTGAACCCAGAAGAGCAGCCGGCGCTCCTTCTTAACCCCTGAGCCATCTCTTCAACCCCATGAAGGAACTTCCAAATGGTCACTTCCTGAGCAATCTCACCACGAGGCCTGCTCTCTGTTTAGTCTTGATACACGATCAGCTAGCAGAGACCCTCCATACCAACCTACGTCCCACATACTGCCAAACAATGATTCAGGGCGGTTTACAGAAAAAGACACAACCAAATGGAATCCAAACCATCGAACAGAGGATGCGCTCCACGGCATTAAAAAAAAAAATCTGGAGTTGGTGAGATGGTGCATATGGGTGATGCCTGCTTGTGGAAGAGGGGTAGCACAATCCCAAGTGAGAGGTCAGCCTGGGCTACACAATCAGACCCTGTTATAGACACACAAGCAAACAATAGCAAAAATCTGGATCTCTTCCAAATAGCTTCACAATATCAGTTGCAAGGCCAGGAGATAGCTTAGCTGGTGATGTGCTTGCCACAGAAGCATGGGGCTCGAGTTCAATCCCTAGAACCCATGGAAGAAGCTAGGCGTGGCGGTGCGTGCTTGTTATAATTCTAGCACCGGAAGGTAGAGGCATGTGGATCTTTGGGACTCACCGGCCACCCAGAATAAAGTACTGGGTGAATTAAGGGCCACTGAAGAGACCATGTCACAAAAAAAAACGTTGATGGCTTCTGAGGCACGACACTTGAGGCTGACCTACTACTACTACTACTACTTTCCCCTCCCCTCTTTCTCTCTCTCTCTCTCTCTCTCTCTCTCTCTCTCTCTCTCTCTCTCTCTCTCTCTCTCTCACACACACACACACACACACACACACACACACACACACACACACACACACATACACGTCAGTCCTATCACTAAGGCAATCTGGTAACAAGTCAAAGTCCATAGATAGCTTGGACATGAGATGTTTCTTTTTTTTTTTGGTTTTTCGAGACAGGGTTTCTCCGTGTAGCTTTGCGCCTTTTCCTGGAACTCACTTGGTAGCCCAGGCTGGCCTCGAACTCACAGAGATCCGCCTGGCTCTGCCTCCCGAGTGCTGGGATTAAAGGCGTGCGTCACCACCGCCCAGCTGAGATGTTTCTATTTTATCTGTATTTGGCTCGTGGATATTTACTGAGCTTCTATCATTATTTTAAAAATATTTAAATATGCCGGGCGGTGGTGGCGCACGCCTTTAATCCCAGCACTCGGGAGGCAGAGCCAGGCGGATCTCTGTGAGTTCGAGGCCAGCCTGGTCTCCAAAGCGAGTACCAGGAAAGGCGCAAAGCTACACAGAGAAACCCTGTCTCGAAAAACCAAAAAAAAAAAAAAAAAAATATTTAAATATATATAAAATATAATATTACATATATATTATATATATATCATATGTGTATATATAGTGTTGTGTGTGTATGCCATGTGTGTGCTGGTGCCCAGGGGCCAGAAGAGGGGTGCAGGGCCCCCAGCAGCTGGAGTTGCAGGTGTCTGTGAACCAGGAATCAAACTCAGGTTCGCTGGAAAAGCAGCAAGTGCTCTTAACTGTGGACCTAGCTCCAGCTCCTCCCGTCTGTCTGTCTGTCTGTCTGTCTGTACATGCACATGCAGGATGCCAGAGGTTAGGCATCCTTATTTGAGCTCCACCTATGCTCTGAGACAGGGGCGTTCACTGAAGCCGAGGCTCATGGATCCGGCTAGGCCAGCTGGCCAGAGAGCTCCAGGGAGCTTGCGGTCTCTGCTTCTCTGGTTCTGGGTTTACACAGACGCTGGCATCCACCTCCAGTCTTCACACTTTTACCTCCTGAGCCATCTCCCAGCTCCTGCTGTCACTCTTTCCGAACGTTAGACTTTTTGAAAGGTGTGTTGCGTGTGCCGTTGCATTCTCTCTGCGCGGTGCTGAGGGCTAAGTGTTCTGCATCTCCCACGTGCTGCCTGTGATCCCTGCTCAGTGGGGAGTCTGGCCATGCCCTCGTTCTTTCTGGCTGGACTGCTGGGATTTCACTGCTGACTTCTGAGAGTTCTTTGTCTGTCCGAGATGTTTACTTCTTTGTTGGACATGTGGTTTACAAATATTTTCTCTAGTCTGTAGCTTGTCTTTTCATCTTCTTTACAATGTCTTTTAAAGAGCAAAATATTTTTATTTTGAAAAGGCCTAATTTACCAATTTGTCCTTTTATGGACTGACCTTTTGTTGTCAAGCTCAGATCTCTCTGCGAACTCCTAGAACCTGAACCCCCACCCCCACCCCCACCCCAGTTTTGTGCTTTATATTTAAGTGTGTGATTTGCTTTGGGCTAATTTTGTAGAGGGTGTAAAGTTTAAGTCAAACCTCTGCTTGTGGAGGGCCCAACTTTCCAGAACTGTCTCTGAAAGGCTCTGCCTCTTCCTGGCATTGCACCTGTACCTTTTGTCAAAATCCAGCCTGTCCCAAGAGGATCCTGAAGTGTCCCATACTTCAGGGAGAGGGTACAAAATAAGGCGTCTTGTTGACATGGAGCTTGCAGGGGAAAATCCAGTGGCATGTCCATTAGACAGCCAAGGACCCTAGGAAGTGAGGCTGTCGGGAAGGGCTGAGGAGGTTACCAGGGCAGAAACGGGACTTGTGGGTTGAGGACAGACAGGGAAGCAGGGACCTGAAGAAATTTCGAAGGTTTCATTCTACAGGACGAAAGTTAATTATAAAGTTGAGATTTAGATCCTCATTGCTCACAGCCTGGTAAGTACAGCAAAAAATTCCTCTCTGCCATTTGTTCACTGGCTGGTAGATAGAAGACCAACACTCCACTGCACAGGGATTATGGGAACATTTTAGTCCAACGGTTCTTTATAATTCTACTCACAGGAAGTCAATTCAATGTCCAAACCTCAACTCCAGTCGTCCTGCAAGTATTTACTATATAAGTACTTACTATGAGCCAGGAGTTTAGGCAGAGAGCCGTTGAAAAAGGCGCCACAATTCCTGCTGAAGGGACCACTACCGCCACGGTTTGTTTATCATCAAGCCCGGCATCTCTGCTGCACATGTGGTTGGTGGCTCTGGCTGTGAGAAGTGTCCTTTTCCTTCCCCTCCAAGAGCTGAGTGTCAGCGTGTGATTATGACCTCCGCCCAAACCCTCAAATCCTCAGCCCAACCCAAAGGCTACTGGGGAACCAAGAAATATGACTTTCAAAGGTTGCCAAGTCTTGATCTAAACCAGCCAGCAGATAGTAGCAAATACACAGCAACCATGATTAATGAGAACCCTAGGCACCAATTTCCAGGCACCGAGAAGTAAATATGATCTGAGAAGTAAGCTGTATGTATCAGGCTGGCGAGCGCATCCTGCTTTCTAGAGACTCATTCCACAGTTTCGGCATTGTCAAGGGCAGGGGCCACTTTGAACCTTTCAGTGTTGTCCTCCTTCCTTCACATGGTGTCTGGTGTGACAAGGATCACAAGCCTGTCTTAGATACAGACCTTAGCAGGCTATAGTGTGCTCTGACAATGGACGGCATGGTCTCATGTTTGGGAAACCCCAAGCTTCCTGGGAGCTCTGGACGCTGCCCTCATGGGGAGCTGGGCGGTTCAGGGCCTAGTGCTAGGTGGCTTTTCACGTCCCCTGTCCTGCACCACATCCTGCCCATGCACCTGGGTTCAATATCGCCATCACTATCAAGGCAGACAAGTGGTCCAGGAAGAGAAGTCCCTCCCATCTAGAGACCATAGCCAGAGTCTGAAGCTCTGTCCAGAAGGGCCCGAGTTCCCTGTGATCAATCTCAATGAGACAACAGGCAGACCTGGGACAACAGCCCTTGAACACATGGATCTGCTCAGGGTTGGGTATCACTGCAGACAGCTCCTGCTCAATGAGGTGGGGTGGTGGTGGTCATTCAAGCATCACACATGCAACACCTCTTTAAAATGGCCTTCCTACACCATGAGCACTAGTGATGGAGGCCTAGGACTGCCCAGGGAAAGGGCAGAGCTGCTTCACCAGCCCTGCCCAGCATTCACTAACCTGCCTCCCTTATGAGTGTGTTGAGAGGAGACACCGAGGATAAGGAGACCTGCCGTACAAGTATGGGTCCTCCTCCTTGGGACAGGGATAGTCTCCCAGTGATGTTTCATTAATGGTTATGTAAACACATTCTGAACATGCTTTCATTTGCTCAGTGGGAAGACAGTGCCACTCCACTATAATTCCCATCTGGGTGCTTTTCCAAATGGTTGGCTGTTATTTCAATGTTCAACATACATATTCCATTTCCTCCCCTTAATATTTGTTTGACTTATTCTCCGGTGGGGCCTGGGTGCGTCAGAAGGGCTTGGCAAGGTCAAGCCACGCCACAGTGTCTCTCAGCACCTCCTCAGCTTCTGGCTTGTCTCTGGATCTTCTTTCAGCAGTGCTCACAGCTCTGGCTGCACACATGAGCTGTTTTCCCTCCTGTCTCACGAGGCCTGCAGGTATAAATCAATGCAAGCTGGAGACAGGACAGGGTGAACAGGTCTGCAGGCTGCACACCAGGAGCTGGAGACACTGTGGAAAGGACAGGTCCTCCAAACAATTACTTGCCTCTCACCACTGTCTCCCCTGTCTGCCCGGGGAAGTGCAGACTCTCAGGTAGGACCACTTGGCCACACTGTCGGCTGAAGACAAGAGAGTGGGTGACAGCGATTCTTAGGGCATTTAAGAAAAGTAATAATCAGATGACAGACAGATCATCAGACAGGCAGACAGACATCCTTTTCAATACAGTACTGATGTTATGTACAGGCTCAGGAAAAGGAGCCATGATGGGATCCTGTGACTGCCACCATCATCAGGAAGAGGACAACTGCTCTCCATCCAACCAGTCACTACTGGCCAGACCCTGAGAAAGCTCAGGAATCGGAGGCAGCCAAGAGCCAAGGACTGGAAATCTCAGGTGCTGATTCTCACCAAAGCCCGTGATGTCTCCAGGACCCAGATTATTCAGCCACTGTGGTGCACGCCCTGTTGTGTGCGGTCTACTCACCCGAGTGTTGTGGCTGGCCGATTTGGCTGATAGACCAAAGAAAGCTTCTGCCAAGGCCATCTTGGGGGAGTTGCCTGGGGATAACTGACAGCCGCAATGTTGAAAAGTCCCACCCACCAGTCAACCTCCCACCTCCTGCATATTCAAGTACCCAGGATCATGGTAGCTGGGGCAGGGAGTGGTGACCTCAATCTCAGGGGAGGGTCTTGAGACTTCCTACTCCTTCACAAGGACTGTCAACATCCTCATCATCTCCACAGACAGCTAGCAGTTTTGGTGTTCTGTTGAACTCACTGATATGAGCGAAGGACAAGGTGTCTGTGGGTCACCACAGCCACTCTGTCTCTTGATGGTCATTGTCATAGTCAGCTGAGAAGAAACAGCCTCTATTTCCATTCCTTTATGGATCCCTTCATATTTGTCTCGGCTATATAAAAACCGAGTTTTGCAGGGCCCTAGATAACTCAAAGGCTGAGCTTGCCCAGAGCCCACAGGAGTATGTGTCATAAAGAAAAATCTTTTTATAGAGTTCCCTGGATCTCCAACAAGCCTGGCTGGATACATCTCCAGACTAGGACTGGGATTCCTAGGGAGGTAAGCAGAAGGCAGAGGACCACATGCCTGACAGGAGTCCAAGACTCACTTTGCCAAGACTCACTTTGCATTCATTTGTTCCCAGATCCAGCATCTGTGAGACCCACCAGGACAGACCAACACTCTAGGTGGACCAACACAAGGATAGAGAGATTATACTTTCTTTTTTACATTATCTCTTCACTTTGAATGGCAGTGACAACAGAATCTAATTCTAGGGTGGACTGTTACCATCTGTAGTTATTATAACGAGAAGAGAAAAACCAGAATTTATTTAGAACCACAGATTGGATCCTCTCTCTTGCTGCCCCTGGATGCACATATAGATGGCTGTATTTTACAAATTCTGTTTAAAATATAAACGTCACACCATCTCTGACAAATTGAATTAGCCAAGTCCCCCATCACTCATTAAGTCCATGCTCTGGGTGAGTGTGCCCTGTTCTTCTCCTGGGCTCTCCAATCATTCCAACACTGCCTTTGGACTTTCACCACCTGGGTCTCACTTGTTCTCCTGTCCCCAGTCTCTGTCACCACAAATTTATCCTGAGATCAACTTCTTTTTACACACACCTCCCAAGAGACTCTCCTGTTAGCCTCGGAGTCTCCCTCAGCTGGTCCTCTACTGTCTAACTAACCTGACGTCCATTGTTAACAAAACTGCTAGGCCCACTCTGCTGCTCACACTCACTCTCACTTTGAAGCCTTGCTCTAGATGACTCCTAAATCAAGAAAACACAGTTGGAGACGGTGTTATGAGAAGAGAATGGGGTAAGCCATGATATTTTGCTGTCTTCTGTGATTTTTTGAAAATACGTAATTGATATTACCTTGGGCAGCTGTGAACAAAATAATGTAAATAAGTTCTCACAATTTATTAGCACCCAAGAGGCCCGAGCAGCCTCTGCCACCTCTGGATGTCCGAGCATCAGCATCCATGCCTGACAACACACAGCCGCTCTGTTCCTTCCCACTCCCGCATGAAGTCCTAACTCTATATTTATAGCCAACATCATTATCCAAGAGTGTTTCACCTCTCTCAGGTGAAAAATGTCCAACACTTAAGTGCCACTAATAATTTTTTATGGTTGGAAATGTGGATCAAAGTATGAAAGGAAAAATAAATCCACAGGTCCGCACACTCAGCCAAGTCTCCACGGCTCATTTTCAACCACATGTTTTAAACTGTCTCTTAGAGGAGGGGGAGGGGAGTAGGAATAAGTTGCTTTTTATTTCCCTGCTTTTTAGTGTCTGAAATAAAAGTAGACAGACTTGGGGGGAAAAAAAATCAAACATCCAAGTAACATTATACACTGCTACTGTTCCCCCAGGAGTCACTCGCAAATGAGTATCAAGAACTGAATAGATACTTTCCTGGTAAAATACATAAACAGATAAATAAATTATCCCAGGCTGAAAGGAATCTCCCATCTGGTAGCGCACTAGAGCTTGTCAAACAAGTCAGAAACACGAAGGGCCAGAGAGGATCATTTCTGGCTCCTGACTTCAGGGCTGGAGAGGAAAGGGAAAGTTTCCCAGGGCCCTTTGCCTTCCAAGAGGGAAAGTGACCCCACCAAGACAGGCAAATAACCCATGCTTTCTTCCAAGGAAATGATTACATCTAGCACTGGATCCAAATGTCTGTGCACTCAGGTCACAGGACTGGAAGGAAAACTGGCCTGGCCTCATTCCCCAGACCTTACTCTGTACCGCAAAGTGTTACACAGTCAATGTGCATTTAACATCTTAAAGACGTAAATTGACTTCTCTATAGTTCTCCAGGCCCTTGGCAGCAAAGCACGAAGGGATAGGGTGGTCTCTGAGGTCCCTTCACATCCTCACTGGGATTCTTCTGAGCAGAACTAGAAGGGCTAGCAGGGTATGTGACACACAGAGATCTGAGCCTCTCCCCAGATGAGATGTGAGGTTGGGGCTGGGTCATAACTGGTGTACGAAGCCTCATCTGTGTGCTTATATCACCTACTTGTGCTAAGATTTGGCAAAGGCCAGAGTACTGCAGGGCTCTACAAACTTCCTCTTGGAAAGGGATGCAGAGTTTACACTTGGTTTCCAAGCTAATAGTACAGGGAGATTCACTGTGAATCTTTATTGTGTCTTTGGAAAGTGTGTGTTCTATGAGCTGGCCTGTAGTTTGCCCTATAACCCATAAGCATGGTGTGAAGCTTCCTTCACAAAGGTCTCTGTCAATCAAGATGTCTAGCTCTTCGGCATGCACTGGGTCTGCATGTGACACCTCAGCAGAGGTGCTGTCAGAACCATGAACAAAGCAGGCCCTGGGTCACCCCAGACTACTCTGTCTCTAATAGCATAACCTGGGCATCCTCCCCTCTACATCCAACTCATGTGCGGCTGGTCTGAGTGCCACAGGATTGCTCCAGATGTTACTCTTCATGCCCAGCAGTTTGGCATGATCCCATGTGGAGTCAGCTTGGTTTACCTGCACTTCTGAGCCCTTAGGGGCTGCAGGAAGTCGTTTGGTCTAGGGCTCTGTCTCCAGACAAACAGGCAAAAACCCTAGAAGCCTCAGGGCTGCTGGCTTCTCCATCAGCATGGATTCCCTATGGGGAGACCTCACTGTCACGGGTTTTTTCTACAGTGTCTTTGGCATGACAGTAAAAGGGCCTCTGGCACATTGTCTCTTTGACTCTCACATAGTCAATATGGTGTTTTAGCTATTTGGGGGGCGGGGCTTAAGCTAGGATAATGAATTAAACTACTACAAACTCAAGGGCTATAGAAAAAAATAGAAATGAAGATGCTGCTTTCATAGGAGAATGGGCAAGGGACTTTTGATTGTGTGCATCTGAAGCACTGGGGTGCCTAACCTAACCAGCTGGCTTCGGTAAATACTGAATTCACAAATGCAGAATCAGCCTTCCTCCCAGGTGCACCCAGAACATTAACAACACAGGCTTTATGCTAAGCCAGTCTCAAGGCATTTCCAAGTAGAGGGTCTCTCAGCCCAGTTGTATAAAACCAGGAACAAGAGAAAAAAAGTTACTTTAAAATGTGACAGAAGCAAGCAATGTGCTTTTATGGACCTACGAAGGATCAAAGAAGATAAGTCAAAGGAAGTCACATAGTAATTTGAACTTCACGCTAGCAGAAATACAACACATCCAAACTTGAGAATGAGGGCTGGGGCCCAAGTCTGTGGGTCAGAGTACGTGCTGTTAAAACAAGGGGACCAGAGTTCAAGTTCCCAGTCCCTATGTAAAAGTTGGGCATGACTGAGCATGGCTGTAACAACAACAAGGGGACCAGAGTTCAAGTTCCCAGTCCCTATGTAAAAGTTGGGCATGACTGAGCATGGCTGTAACAACAACAAGGGGACCAGAGTTCAAGTTCCCAGTCCCTATGTAAAAGTTGGGCATGACTGAGCATGGCTGTAACAACAACAAGGGGACCAGAGTTCAAGTTCCCAGTCCCTATGTAAAAGTTGGGCATGACTGAGCATGGCTGTAACAACAACAAGGCGACCAGAGTTCAAGTTCCCAGTCCCTATGTAAAAGTTGGGCATGACTGAGCATGGCTGTAACAACAACAAGGGGACCAGAGTTCAAGTTCCCAGTCCCTATGTAAAAGTTGGGCATGACTGAGCATGGCTGTAACAACAACAAGGGGACCAGAGTTCAAGTTCCCAGTCCCTATGTAAAAGTTGGGCATGACTGAGCATGGCTGTAACCCCAGCGTTGGAGGGGAGACATGTGGGTCCAGGGAGCTTGTTGGCTAGGCTTCAGGTTCAGTGAGAGAGCCTGTCAGAAAAAATAGGGTGGAGAGTTACAGAAGACACTTGACAGCCTTCCCTGGCCTCTGCAACACACACACACACACACATACACACACACACACACACACACACACACACACACTCACACAGACACAGTCACATACACACAGAGAGACACAGTCACACATACACACACAGACACAGGCACATACAGAAATACACCAACAGAAAATTCATAATACACCTGAAGCAACAATTAAAGAGAAATTTCAATGCATATATCAGAAAAAATCAGTATTAAAACCAATGACTATGCTATCAAGCCAAAAAAAAACTAGAAAAAGGATAGCAATTCAGATTCACTACTGCAGTGTGTGAAATCAGTCAAGCAGAGTGGTGATGAGCTCAAAACAAACAGAGAAAGCCCAACAAAGCCAGCTCCCTGAAAGAACCACGGCATTACAGGTCTAACAAGGAGTCTAACCAGAGTCAGAAAAAGGAAATCGGTGTGGCGGAACACACCCGCAATCCAGCCATCGGGAGGTGGAGGCTGGAGGATCATGAGCTTGAGAACAGTGTAGGCTACAGCGTGAGACCCTGGGGAAAAGGGGAAAAGGAGAGAAATGACCAGGATCAATAAAAGAGATTCATCACCCCAACTACTAGAAGCTACTGTACATTTTACATAATCTATCAAAACAAGTGCAAGGGAGCTGAGCAAGTCTGACTGGAACTGGACGCACGGGAAGGAAGGCAGCGAGGCTCTGCTTGAGGGAGAAGAGTGGGATGCAGGAAGAGGAGGAAGCCCCACCACGGCCAACGAGGCCTCTGCCCAGGTGACAGAAGCAGGGTGGAGCGAGGCACAGCAAATGCACCTTCTTCTGTGCGCATCTGTACAGATGCACACACTCCTCGTTCGAAGTCGCTTTCTTTCTGGTCTCCACTTCAACACAGAAGTGCCACTTTGCCGCATGCAGCTTGTGAAGTTTACTGCCATCTCTACAAGTCCTGCTGCGGCCTGCTGGGCCTCTCGAGTCTCTAAGTTTTGGAAATGGTCAGCTCTCACTTCTTCACAGACTTTTTAGCCCTTTCCTCCCCTGGAAACTCCAATGAGAGGCACTGCTAATACTTTGTGACTGTCCCTCAGGTCGCAGTCATGGGCTCCACTTCTGTTGTTGCACTTACTGACCAATTGCTACTGATTATCCTCAGGCCCACTGGTTCCCTCCTGGACCTCCGCCCTCACATGAAGCCCATACAGCGGTTAATTCAGGAGCGTATGACTTCAGCTCCATCACCTCTACTTTGATCTTCTGTCTATCTTTCTCTGCGGAGACTTCTTGTTTTCTCATTGGCTTCCCCGGTACATGCTGCTCATCAGAGTACTTTCAGCAATAGCAGCTTTCGATGTTCCTAAACAGCCTCATCCTCAGGGTGTGACACCTCTCAACTATCTTTTCTCCTTAAAGCTGCAATTTTCCTGGATGATAGAAAACTTTAGCAACGTTCTCAGTATTTCATCTGTCTTCGTTTCCTTGTCCTGTTTCTGTGACATAAGCAACTTAAGGGAAAAGGGGTTCATTAGACTTACTCCAGATTACAGTCCATCATGGTGGGGAAGCCCCAGCGGCAGGAATGTGAGGGGACTGGTCATATTACATCCACAGGCAACAGCAGAGAGCAATGAATTCATGTGTGCAGAGACAAAGAGATCCCCAGAGCCTACTAGACAGCTAACCCAGACAAGAAACTGGGTTCTTGGCCTAACAGGAGACCCTACCTATAAATAAGATGAGTGATTGGAGAAGACATGCAGTGCTGGAAGACATGCAATGTTGACCTCTGACCTCCAAATGCAATCACATACCCACATCCACACATACATTTGTATAAACCCCAACACGTGCTCACACGTACATGTGCGCACACACACACCCTTTTGATTTAACATATTCTGCAAGTTATACTTGTCCATGGAGTTTCATATCAATTTTTATAAGGTTTCATAATAGCCTGTTAATGACTGACATCTGCATTAACAACTCTTTAAAGCTTAGCTGTCTTTCATTCTCATATGCTACCTAACTCCTGAGAGCACCATGTAAGGTGTGAAGGATTTATTTTGGGTTCACAGTTTCTGGGATTTCAAGCTAAGGCTTTGTGATCCTATGAGCTGAGGTAAAACGTCACAGCCTCAAAAACACAGGAACTGGAGCTCCTTGGGAACATGCCAAGTGACCTACTTCCTCCACCTAAGTTCCACCTCCCTGAAAAGTCCACAACCTCCCAAACAGCACCCCCAGCTAGGAACCCAGTGTCTACATTAGAGCTTATGGGTCCATTTCATAGTCGGGCCATAATATTCTGCCCAGGGCCCTAAAGACTCATGGCCATCTCATAACAAAATGCATTTAGATCATCTCTAGGAGTCCCCAAAGTCTAAACAGTTCTTCTACACTGTTTAAAAGTTCAAAGTCTCCTCCGCATCTCAAGGCACACTCTTCGCTGGGAGCTGCTTGCTGTAAAGCAAACAGCAAGTTACAATGCCACAGAAGAAACATTCCCATCACAGAAGGACAGGAAAGCAGGCTGGAAGGACCAAAGAGAGGTGCAGAAGGGCAAACACACCTTCTGCACTTCCTAGTCTGCTACCCTGGGTATGTGGCAGCAGGATGTGTGCTCCAATAGGCTTCTTGGCTCCACCCCCTTGAGTTTGCATCCCTCATGGCCCCTGTCCTGGGCATAAGTTCCACTTGGTGCCTACGGCTTTCCTAGGCAGATGTCCTGTGTCCCTGGTAACACCCTTGAGTCTCCACTATATTTTAGTATCACCCCCAAAGCTACTTGCATTGTCCTCTTAGCAGCTGCCTGCTGGAATTCCAAGCCTGCCACACATTGGCCCCCCAGGCATTCCTTTGAAACGTTGGTGGAAGCCTCCTTGCTCTCCCATTCTCATCCCTTTAAAACCAGCGTCAGGTGGACAATACCAAGGCCTTCCACGAAAACACTTCTCTAGGTAGCCCTGTGCAGGGTGCTCTATAGGCATGATCTTGTCAAGGCAAAGTCTTTTAAATGAGTTTACAATTCTGTACCTTGAAACCTTGGAGGGGTAAGGTCTGGGCAATTGCTGAGATACCCTCAGGTGTCTTTCTATTGTCTAACCACAAAGAGCTTGGCTTCTTTTTAATGATACTAATCTCCTTGACAACCACACGCTCCTTGTCTGCAACTTTCAAACAGTTCCTCTTCTGGTCAGACTGAACAATGTTTCTGGATCCTTCTGCTCTGCTTTTTACTATTGTTTCTTGCTGTAAATCTGGCTGAAAGCAGCTACCAATAGCCATTCCCAGTCTGAATGCTACACTGTCTTGAAATTTTCTCTACCGAAGTTGTAGGACACAGACAAAATGTAGACAAATCCTTTGCCAAAATGTAACACAAATGGCTTTTGGTCTAATTCTGAACAGAGACTCTGCTCCTCTGAAACCTCATGAACTCAGCATTTACTGTCTACCTATCTGTGCTCGTCTCTTCTGGGCATCCATTAGAATGGCCTGTAAAGCTCTGTGTACACCATTCTAGGGCTTCTATAGCCCTCCGGATTCCTCCTGTAAACCTGCTTCAAAGGCCCGTGAGTCAAATGGCCAGGTTCAGTCACAGCCGTGACCCCACTCCCGGCACCCATTTTCAGTATTAGTCATTTTCTCAGTGAGGTAACAGAAAGCCCAGCAGAAAGTTTCTGGGAGGAAGGGTTTTGTTTTGGTTCATGGGCTTCCCAGATTTCCGTCCATTGTTGCGTGGCTCCAAGAACTCGGACAAGACATGGTCAGGGAGTGTGTGGTGTGTGGTAGAGAAGCTTCATGTTCTCCATGACAGGAGGAGGATGAATGGAGGGGGAAGAAAGGGGGATGAAGAAGGGAAGGAGAGGAGAGAGGGGAGAGAATGAGGATGGAGGAGAGGAAAGGGAACATTTACTATTGAAACTATTACAATTCCTGATTATGACAACTTTGTTTTTCTTCTTTTTGAGTGGTCAAACTTGGGAGCTAATCTGCTTTGTTAATCTTTTCAGAGCCAATTTTTGGACATGTTAATTTCCTCTGTTGGTCAGTTTTCTACTTCACTGTTTTTAACACTTGCTTGAAAAGTTTTTGCACCCCAATAGGCCAAATCAGACCAAATCAGACCGAATTAGAAAAAGCCCTGGTTTAATGGGTAAAGCGTTCCCGGGTTATTCTCTGGCCCCCCCAGGGAGGAGACAGGGACCAGAGACCAAAAAACCATGTGTGTTTTCTGGGGGTCAGTTTAAATAGCCAGTGGGAGTGGTCTTGAGCATCTCTGGGGGAGGAGCTGTGTATGGCGGGACTTTCTGAGGGGCGGGGTCTGGGCAGAGAGGTGGGGCTTCCACCAGAGCACTGCTCACCTTTATCCCTTTTTCTCACTCGCCTCAAGTTTGACTTTTTCCCACTTTCTTTTCGGTCACTAGTTTTAGGATTTTACTCTTTTCTAATCCCATAGTTTAGTGATAGGAATTTCCCCAAGTACTGCTTTAGTTGTATTCCGTACTTTGATTTTCCAAGCTTGGAACTTACAAATACTAATTAACTAATTAATTTTGAGACAGTCTTGCTATATAGCCCAGACTGGCCTGAAACTCACTATGAGGCCCATGCTGGCTTGAAATCTGTAACCATCCTGCCTCAGCCAAGTACTGTGATTATAGGGATGTGCTGCTCTACCTGGCTTTGAGTTAGATGTTTACCTGCAGTATAAGGGATGGTCATTTTAAAAACATGTATAAGAAAATGTTGCAAAAGTATTGAGTAAAAAGACCTTATGGTCTGCAGTGAACTGACTAGGCTCTTCTGTTGACAATTACCTAGCCATATGTGTTCAGTATTGTGGAACACTGACCTGTGGTTGTATCCTCTTGAGCTCACATCAGCTGTGATGACCCCACACAAGACCTGCACAAGAGTGGACTGACTAGCATTCTATCATGGAGACAGATAGAGACTCATGAGGCCTGTCCTCTCCCACAATAGATAGGCAGTTAATGGTCGCCAGGGCAGTGACATCTTCATTAGTGTAGTCCTGGTAAGTTGCCCACACTACTGTAAGTAAATAAATTGGATCACCAAGATAAGACTTGAATGGAATGCTTACTTTGGTCTGCTGGAGTCTCATCCGGGCTAAACAGATGTTTCTTGTCTCCCCAGGATTGTTCACACAACAGTGGTCCATTTCTCGATTCTAAATTCTGTTTCACTGATTTACATGTCTAAATTTGAATCAATACCAGTGTCTTGATTGTTGCAACCTCATAGTAAGTCTTAAAATAAAGTAGTGTTATTTTCCAAAAAAGGTTTGGTTTCTGCAAGGCTATTGTACTCCCACTTAATTTTAGAAATCTGGAGCTATGGCTCAGCAGGTAAGAGTGCTTGTTCTGCAAGCATGAGGACCTCAGTTTGCATCCAAACACTTCCGTAAAACAAACAAGAACAGTCCTGGCTGCACACGCCTGCAGCCTTGGCACTGGGGATCAGAGACACGCAACCACTGATCTTCTGTTCCCACACAGCATTTTCTAGAACTTCATACATGTGAACTCATAAACAAACTGTTCTCTTCTTCATCTTACTCCATTAACTGAGCATAATTATTCAGAAAAATACCTACACTGTTGCATGTATCAACAGTTTATTCTTATTTAATATTGAGGGCTAGGGATACAGATCAGTGGTAGAGTGCTAGCCTGGCTCTGGGTTAGATCTTCAGCACTGCAATGCCTTCCAGCTCCTCCCCCAACAAACCCTACCTACTGTTGAGTCAACTCCTGCTGCTCACTTACCCTTTGTAATGACTGACAGACACTGGTTTTGTTTTTCTTCAGGTTCTGGTTATACTGAACCAAGCTTCTATGACTATCAGTGTCCAGGCATTTGAAGAGACATGGGTACTTATTACTCTAGACCTCAGATGCTGTGGGAAGAATGGTGGGATGACATGGCAGGTGCTGCTATGGCTTGGATATGGTATGTCTGCTAATGATCACATGGTGGAGTCCTGGCCCTCAGTTTAACAATGCAGAGGTGATATGGGAACTTTAAGAGACAGGGCTTGGTGGGAGGTCCTGGGGTCAATGGGGGCACAGTCATCAGAAGGCATTAAAGGAACTCTGGTGGGTCCCAAAGCTCTGTGGAGATGAGCTGTTATAAGACCTGACCCCTGAACTGTTCTTTGACTTCCTGTTTTGACATGTGATCTCTTCTCCCATACACGCTCCTCCCATTGCAGCATCAATCATAAAGTCCTTGCTAGAGGCAAGCCAATGCTGGCATCTGCTGTTGAGTCTCTAGAACTAGAAGCTGAATTTCTGTTTTATTCAGCCAGGTGTGCCGGTGCATACCTATATTCCCAGAACTCAGGAGGTGGAGGCAGGAGGATCAGAAGTAACAGTCATCCTCTACCACATGGTGAGTTTGAGGCCAGTCTGGGTTACATGAGATCACGTATCAAACAAAACAATCCCCCCCCAAAAAAAACAAAACAAAACCAAAAAACAGATAAATATAGTGTAAAGCCAGTCTGCCTCAGGCAGTTTGTTATTATATATATATATATATATATATATATATATATGTTTAACATTTGTATATATTTAACATTTCAAATTCTGTTTTATCATAGCATTGCATCCAGATTATGAATCAGCACAGAGCAGAAGCTAAAACGTCTGTGCCTTATTGTGCACATGCACTTTGGCAGTGGGGATCAACCATTCATCAAAAATCACTGAACATGTTGAGCTCAATAAACTGGATTAGGCATGGAGAGTATGCCAATGAATGAGATGGCCATGGTTGCTACCCTGGTGCTCAGATTCTAGAAGCACTAAACAGTAACTCCATGAGGTAATGATTTCTTTGGTGTTTTTTTTTTTTTTTTTTTTTTTGGTTTTTGGAGACAGGGTTTCTCTGTGTAGCTTTGCGCCTTTCCTGGAACTCGCTTTGGAGACCAGGCTGGCCTCGAACTCACAGAGATCCGCCTGGCTCTGCCTCCCGAGTGCTGGGATTAAAGGCGTGCGCCACCACCGCCCGGCGTTTTTTTTTTTTTTTAAGAGGTACTAGGTCACCCGAAGCTCATCCAGCCTGGGACTGGAAGCTTCTCCGAGAGAGCCACACCTGAGCTATCAGGTGAGAGGGAGAGTGGAAAGTAACAAAACTACAATCCAACAGACTCTGCTCAGCGCCAAGAAATGGTTCTGGGCTCTGACATAATTCCTCTAGGATGCCAATTTTTATTAACTTATTTATTTACTTAGTTGAGGCTGCTAATTGCTGCTTGAAAATTAACTCTAGGCTTTGGAGTGGAAGCTGGACTTAGAAACACCCATGTTTGAATCCACACTCAGCTAAGCACCCTCACCAGGGAAAAATTCTGAACAGAGAAGCCAACAGGCAACAAGTCTCAGAAACCCGAGGACAATCCCAGGCAGAATCATGATGAGGCCCGCAGCTATAGTACGGGTACTATAGTAAGGCACTACTGTGGCTTCTGCCAAGTGCTCCCTGAGCTATCTGTGTGGCAGGTCCTATGAAAGTGTATTCTAGAGGGGGAAAACTGTCACTGCTATTGTATTAAGGAATAAGCTAAGAAGTAGGTTTCATCTCAAGTTGAAAGAGACCTTGGAAATGCATATGGTTTAGCCTTTTTGACTAGACCTCCTTCACCGTAACCAGAGATAGTGACCAGATCGATTCTGCCTATCTGGGCAATATCTCTGAATATCCTTGTTCCCACTTCACTCTGGCCCAGAAACTGAGCGAACAGATACAGTTTGGAACTGTTGTACCAAGGAGGAGGCCCTATCCCCCTGGCCTGCCTAGAGAAACCTTTACAATCTTCTTCCTGCAAAAGTGGGGAAAGGGTTTCTAGTGCTGGTGAAACACTGTGATCAAAGGCAACTCGGGGAGGAAAGCATTTACTCCACTTTACAACTCGCAGTCCGTCCTCCAGGGAAGTCAGGGCAGGAACCGGGAGGCAGGAGCCGATGCAGCGGCCATGGAGGAGTGCTGCTTACAGGCTTGCTCCTGACGGCCTGTTCAGTCTGCTTTGTTATAGCATGTAGGACCCAGAGTCCAGGGCTGGCACAGGCACAATGGTCTGGGCCCTCCCCCATCAATCACTAATCAAGAAAAGGCACCAAAGGCTAGATCAAAGGCCAGCCTGGTGGAATATTTGCTCAACTGAGGTTCTCTCTTCCAAAATGACTCTAAGCTTGTGTCAAGGGGACATACAACTGGCCAGTAAATGTCACTCATATCCTAGCTATGATGACCTAAGCCACTTCCTACGAATGAAAGTAAATTCAAAAAATGAAAGAATGTAGGCTCTGCCAGATACTCCCCTATTTCTCACTGGCTGAACACCTGACCAGACGGTCACAAGCTAATCTATGCCAAAATGGCTCCCTCTCACACTCAAATGTAACTATATTTAAAAGCAACACAAAATAGCGAAACTTAGCTTTTAATTTTTGGTAGTATATGTGTGTGGGTTCCTCTTTCTTCCCTCTTAAATCAATCTTTAAGGACTCCAAAAGAAATTTATGTAATAAACATATGTAAAAAATAGGGCTACATTGGATACATTTTCATTTTTTAAAAAACAGGTTCTTACTGTGTGACTCTGGATGCCCCTAACTTGCTATGTAGACCAAACTGGTCTCAAACTCAGAGATCCTCCTGCCTCTGCCTCCCTACCTCTTCCTCTGCCAGAATTAAAGATGTGCATTGCCACGCTGTCTTAATTTACATTTCTTAAGAACTCCAAATTCAACAGGTCCTGAGAAAACCAAAGAAAATGGTTCCTCTTCCCCCAAGGCAGTGTGACCATGGGATGAATCTCATCACTATACCCTCTACCACTGGGCTTGGTTGGATACTTCAGTGACCCCTGCAGCATGGGCCTTTGGTGTCGCCAGCAGGCCTCTCACACACAGCCTCCCTGACAGGCTCGTCAGCTCCCACTGCTGCGCGCCAAGCTTCAACTCTGGCACTTTCCCCTGGGGAGACCTTTCCTGGTCTCCACGCTTAACCCCTGAACTCAGCCTAATCCATCAGCTGCCCCAAAGGAGCAGTGACGAAGACAAGCAGCCAATCTGTCCATGTTCAGAGCTCAGAGAGCAAGCCTAAGCCATGCGCAGGCTGCAGGCCATGCGCAGGCTGCTTTCCAAACACAGGCTGTAAGCCATGCGCAGGCTGCAGGCCATGCGCAGGCTGCTTTCCAAACACAGGCTGTAAGCCATGCACAGGCTGCAGGCCATGCGCAGGCTGCAGGCCATCCACAGACTGCTTTCCAAACACTTGCCAATGCTGCCACTTCTGGACTTACTCACGCTTTTACTGCTGTGGAGCCAGGTGGCTGGGGGCACAGGAATGCTATGCTTGAAAACATCGATTAGATTGTTGAATGCTATAGCCAGGTTTTAGAAATATCCCCCAGGACTCTTGCTGGGAGTTCCCAAAACTGGGTACAGTTGTCATTGGGGAACTGGGCTTCCCCAGGACTTCAAAGATAGCTTTACAGCCCACTCTCAGGCACATGAAGGACAGTTTAGCAATCACAGGTCTAGAGAATGAAATGCCTAGCCTTTCAATGAACTTCTGAAAAGAGCCTCACCTCATAACCAAACTGCAGCTCATCAGAGGTCAGCATGATGATGTCATCATCGATGGCCAGGACAGCCTCCGTCTCAATTTCATCATAAGGGAAGAAACGATTACTCAGCTTGTTTTCTGCAGTCCTCACAACTTTCAAGGGAACACGGATTTTGGGCCAGAGGGATTCTGGAAGAAGAATAAAAGGAAGTCTTTTACTACTCACCTAGCTCCGTGAGGAGTCAGAACATCCTGTCCTATCACAGGGAGGGGTAGCTTCCACCAGGGACTCTTAAGTGCAGAGGTACCAGTTGTGCGAGGGGAGGCTCCCACCAATGCACCATCCTCCTCAAACCTTTATGACACTCAGTTGGCTCCAATTCCCAACTGGGACTACAAGGACAAAGAGTCCAAGTCACTAGTCTCAGGACCTTTCCCACCTGAGCTTCCCCTCTTCGGGCAGACACTCCGCATAGTGCTTTTCCACCAGTGCACTCGGCTCAAACCCGGCCTGAAAGTGTGCTAGGAAACTCAGCTCCTGATGAGGATGCCTGCGTCCTCTGGACAACCATGGCCAGCCAGTGGCAGATGGAACTCACCCCGTGGAGCACAGCACAGCGGCTGAGTGTTGCTTTCCTAACTCAGCACTTCACCCTCTCTCCTTGACTTACCAGGTTTGGTTGCTCAGCATGACCAATTTATAGAGCAAGTATCAGATTTCTAGGTCTGATTATGTGGGATTTCCTAGTGTACAGTAAAACTACAACCCGTGACTCTCTTTGTCCTGCCCTCACTTTACTGAGCAGTGACTGGAGCAATGCAACTGTACGTCCACTACTGTAAATTCTGCATTTAGCAAAGCACGGAGTCAATGCTTTGTTGGGGGGTATGGTACCAACATCCACAGACCCCAGGTTCTTCTTCACACATTTGTTAAGTGAGAACAGGAAAGCTAAGCGTGCTGCTTCCCAAAGTCCACCATGCAATTCTGGGAAGATCTAGTCTCAGCTAGTCCTAAGTCACCGAACTGAAGAAGAAGCAAGGCAGGAAAGTCAGAGGGAAAAGCTGGTCTGACAAAATGCTGAGCACCTGAGCTCTGCAGAATATAACAGAATAGAATAATACAAACACGTAACACATTGCTGGGGTGCTCCCAGGGGTCTTAAAAAGGGCCCATGTGACAGAGAGGCATTAAGTTAGACATCCCCAATTTTAAATAAGCCTGTGGCACAGAGCATAAAGTGGCCAACTCCAAAAAAGTGTGTTTACAAATGGCACGTTGTCAGTAAGCATTTGGGGGTAAATGTGTGGGCAAATGGGAGTTCTGCCTTTTCTATTAGTTTTTGTTTGTTTGTTTTTGTTTTTGTTTTTGTTTTTGCCTCTTTGCTTTCTTATGTATTTAGTGAATGTGTATGCATGTGTGTGTGTGTACACATCACACTGAATGTATGGGATCCAAGAATTGAACTGGTTGCCTGGTGTGTGCAGATGTGCTTCTCTCCACTGAACAACCCTGTCAGCTTTCTGTGAGATCTTGAGGAAGTCCCTTCCCAGGAGCCAGCAGAGCAGGGGACTTTATTGCTCAGTGGGCATAGCTAGACCTCTCAGAGATGTGGCATCATCCAGTATACCTATGACCTTCCACAGGTCAAAGACTACCGTCAAAGCAGTGTCCACACAACTCTGAGAGGTGGTTAACTTGTCCAGTAGTACACAGATAAGAAACAATAAGACTAGTATTTAAGTCTGGTGAGTAGCAAAGACCACATACGGCCTGTGCCAGAGTCCACTGCAGTGTGAGAGTTCTGTTTCTCTAAACCTGGGATAAATCTCTGAAGGTCCAAAAATCATCCTGACTCTTGTGTGTATCAGATTCCCTACTTAAGACAAATAAAATCCCTGTCACATAGCTACTAAATCTCAGGTCATTATAACCCTGAAGAAACACCTCCAACAAAGAAGGTGATCTAGCCTTAGCTACTAGACCAAAAGGCTCTCAAACTTTTTGGCCTTAGAATTGTTTTACGTTTTTTAAAAGTATCAAGAACCCCTTAAGGAGTCTGATTTACATGGAATATACACACATATGTACATATTTATACAAACACATATTCACTATTCACTATGCTATAAATTAAATCCGGAAACTGTAAAACACATGCACACAAGCCATTAGCTGGCAGAGCAGTAATGTCATGTAGGCTGTGGAAAACCCTGCCATCCACTGTGAGAAAGGAGAGCTGGGAAAGGAGAGGATAACTCAACACTACCATGAGAACAATTTCACCCTCTCAACTCCTCGAAGACCCCAGAGACGCGCAGGGTGCCTGACTCACACACTGAGAATGGCTGTGCTGGATTCCTGTTCACATTTGGGTACTACACTGTACAACAGGAATAACAAGCCTCGCCAGCATTTTGGGGTCCGGAAGACGGCATGGGCTTCCAGATCCAGGGTTTATAGAACATGCTTAAAGAAATGATTTGCCACTTAGGTTTCTGCCTCAGAGCTTCAGATTCATTATTGTGCCCTGCTCTGTGACTCCAGGGCTGGGCCCCGTGAACACGGTGGCACGATGTTATGCTCTATCAGGAGAGGGGACTGGAGCTAGCATGGCAGGAAGGAAGCTTCACTGGTTCTGATGTGTCTCTTTGACTTCGTGATCCTGAAGCAGTCTACAAGTGGGCAGCAAGCGTGAGTGGCAGACCTAAGGATCGAGTGGCAGACCTAAGGGGCGTCTCTCAGCTTCTGGGGGTGCCCAGCTATAGTCTAGCCAAGGTTCTCCACAGCGATGGCTTCCAGTGGATTCCACTGAAGCCCTGGCCAGTATTCCAGCAAGTTCAGTACCAATGCCTGGCAGCCCCTACTCTCCTCAGCAGACTCAATCTCAGACCCAGCTGGAAATTGGGTTTCCCAAGTTCCTCCCCTGTAATCTTCCTTCCCATCTTCCTTCCTTCTTCTCTCTCTCTCTCTTCTTTTTTCTTCTTTCTTTCTTTCATTTTTAAAAATTATTTATTTCTATTTTATGTTCATTGGTGTTTTGCCATGGGTGTCGGGTCCCCTGGAACTGGAGTCACAGACAGTTGTGAGCTGCCATGTGGGTGCTGGGAATTGAACCCTGGTCCTCTGGAAGAGCAGTTGGTGATCTTAACCACCGAGCCATCTCTCCAGTCCGTTTCTTTTTTTCTTTTTTCTTTTTTCTTTTTTGACAGTGGGGATGAATGAATGGGTGAATTTAGCAGCACAGTACCTGGCAGGCAGCAGGCATTCACCCACTGGTGGCTGTGCTTTCCCTGGGAAGTCTCGGTTTATTAGCAAGACAAAGCATTTCTCCTAGTCCCAGTTCATGGCAGCAAGGTGGTTCATTTTAGATTTAACACCCCACCCTGACCATCCAGTGGCAAGTGGCACAGTCACAGCTCAGGCTTCTGTTTGTGCTTTGAGACATGGTTACCATGGAGCCAAAGCCGGTCTCAAACTTGTGATGCTCCTGCCTCAGACTCTTGAGTGCTAAGATTATGCTCCTGGCTCACTGTGCCCACGTCTGTGGAGAAGCCTGCTACAGAACTGAAAACGCCTCACAGACCAATGAAACTGAAGACGTGGAACTTGGCCCTGTTAATTCCACAAGGCAACAAACAGCTCCATTTTCTCCTCTGCACAGGAAAGCGGCTAGCTGCTACAGCTAAGTGAAAACACGCCTCTGCGCGGGGTGGAATCTGGACTTTCACTTGGGGAGTGTGCTCAGCTTGTTCACCCCACAGGCATTTCCACATTCTTTACCTATATATATCCAAAGAATCACTGGAGACGATGTCCATAAAGAGCTAACTTGCCCCTGTAAAGTCTTTGATGGGGATGTTTTAGAGAGTGATGAAAGCCAAGGAGGATGATATGGGGTACAGATGCAGGCCCAGAATGACTCACGGCTCTTCAACACACTCAATCACTTTCCCCCGTTTTAGGTGGAATCTGGGTAGCCAGTTCAGCTTTGACCAAAGGAGCCTCTACTTAAATGGTGCATTGCCATCCCAAGGCAGGGTGGAAAGGAATTCTGCCCTCTCTTCACCTGTTCTGGAGAAGGGCTGTCCCAACCTCAGGCTCTGGCACTCCTGCTGGGCAGACAGACTGGAGTGCAGGAGCAGAGCCCTGAACACAGGCGACCTGTGTGTGATTTTAACCCTAGAAAGGCTGTGTTGAAAAACATGAGGACAGGTAGAAGAGGAAGAATGGAGCCTTAGGGCACACAGGAGAGAGGCCAGTGCTTCCAACACAGCTCGCTCTCTGAGTCTCTGACTTGGATCTAGCTCTTCTACATAATTCCAGGCTGGAGAACTGAAAAGGCTGGACCAGACTGGCAGGCTCAGTGCAAGAGACCTGTCCCTTCAGATCCAATGACCCAAGCTTGTAGTGGGTAGCCATTCCAGCTTTGATCTGTAAGTTCCAACCCCCATTGAGACTTCGGCAACTGTCACGCCTACAAGGTGGGGCGAAAGGAGGCGCCTGGGGACCCGAGATCTGGATCGGCTGGCGCTCTCTGTTGCGGGACCCTGGACTAGAGAGGTGTACCAAGCAGAGCTCCAGAGAACACCGCTGGACTGCGATACACCTTCCCCAGACTCCGCGACCTACCTATCCCTTAATTTGTAAGTTACGCCATTAAATAAATCTCCTTTTATCTACGTGGAATGGCCTTAATAATTTCACCAATACAAGCTCACTACCACCTCTGCCATATGCAGCTTTGTGACTGAGGCAAATTACCAATCCAGCCTTCATTTTTCTTGTTTTTGTAAACTGAGGGTGAGAACAGCTTCCTCACAGGCTGTGATGAGAAGCTGGAAAGGACACATGGGGACACACAGCGTAGTCCCCACTTAGGACATGAGTGGCACTGGGTAGCAGGCCTCAAGGGCGCCGTGACATCGTCATCTTCACAGATAGATTCTTATGAAGCCCTGCAAACTCTGACTCTCTGCTAACTGGAAGGTCAGAGAGATGGACGTGGGGATGACCCTGTTGAAGCAGGAGGACACAATGTCACAGTAAGAAATCTCCAGGTCTAGTCCATGGCTCAGCCTGCACGGGGTCTCCTTTCCTTATTCCCTTACATTCTAAATGGAACAGCACACCCGTGGATGCAGTGGCTAATCCTGTGACTGTAGCAGGCAGGTCAGAAATGTCACCT